TGTGTGTGTGTGTGTGTGTGTGTGTGTGTGTGTGTGTGTGTGTGTGTGTGTGTGTGTGTGTGGTTTCCTGTGTTTGCAGGTGACGCCGGCAGAGTTTAACCACGTGTTACCACTTGACAAAAGAGCAGCAGCAGCAACACAAGCTGCTAAAACCCAAAGTGGAGCAGCTGGTAACAGATAACATCAGATATTCTGTAAAACCTCACAAACAGAGTCGGCAGTATTTATCTATCAGGAACTCAGTGTTTCCACTCAGCTGTACTGTAAATATGACACTGATGGTTTAACACCGACACATGAGAGACCAAACATGAACTTAATTATAGGCCAAGCATTTCTTAAAGGAAAGCTTATCACTTGTCGTCCTTTAAGCTGGAACTTTAGGCTGCATCTCCTCCATGTTGTCACATATTCAAACAGTGGGTGAGACAGATGGAGCTCCCTCTAGTGTTATTTTACAGTTTTATTGATTGGTTTGACACAGCCGTCAACTCAAAATGTACATTTTCAAAACAGTTAACGCAGAGGCCTAAACATTGACACAGTTGTCAAAATGACACATTTTGTTTGCAAAAGGCACTAACTGTGTCAAAACATKTAAAATATGGAACAAAAGCAAATTTTGCCTTCAAACAGCTCAACTTTGACACGATGTATGAGCACCTCCAAACAATCAGTACACAATGGGCAACAAAAAACTAAATACAGTGCTCATGTGTGAATCAGTGCACCATTGCTTGTCATTGTAGCCTATGACTGTACATAGCTTACATGCCAGTGTCATTTGTAGTCAAATTTGCCCTCTTGCAAAAATGCATTCAGAAGCAGATATGGTTTGATGCAAATTTTATTGATTACATTTTTTCAGACTGCGCCTGACAAATGAAATATTCCAATAGAGAATACATGGAAATAAAAATAAAATCCTTTACTTTGTGAGAAATTATGTAAATAAAAAACACAGTCTTTTCCAGTAAAGATCAAAAATCTATAGTAGGCCTATATATACTGAGTATAAAAGATAGCCAAAAGTGATACTCTTCTGTCTCTTCTAGTCTCTTCTGTCTTGAAGAATGGGCCACATGGCCCATTCTTCAAGACAGAAGGGACTAGAAGAATGGGCCACATGGCCTCATCCACATCACATTCAATATTCTATCATGCAATGCACCGCGGGAAAAATCGTCCAGCATGCCTGATCCATCCTTGACATGTCTCTGCATCTATATCTTGGGCAGCAGCAGTCATTGCATTGAGCAAGGGCATCTGTTCATAGGTATGGTGATCATACAGTATACCTTCCATCTCCATGCACTAAAGAATTCCTCTATGGGATTTAAAAATGGAGAGTATGGAGGAAGGAACTGTACCATCATCCAAGGGTGCAATGCAATACCACTCATTCACAAAACAAGAGTGGTGAAATGCCAGATTATCCCAGATAATCACAAACAGTGACATGCCAGGCCTCAACAGGCCTCTCTCCTGAGGCGGGATCAGGATGTCATGAAGGGCATTCATGAATGCTATGAGACGCTCGGTGTTGTATGGGCCAATGGTAGGGATATGGCACAGGATGCCATCATTGGAGACGGCAGCACACAGTTATGTTGGCGCCCCTCTGTCCTGAAACAGTAATAGTGGTCCTATGCCCAGTGAGGTTCCTTCCACGTCTCCTTACTTTACAAAGATTGAAGCCGGATTAATTGACATAAATGAAGACATGATGTGCCCCCTTAGCTTCAAGCTCCATTATTCGCTAAAGAATAAAAAGGCATAATTACAATTACGTCAAAGTGACTCCAGTTCACTCTACAGTGATGATATGACAAGGCATAATATGACAAGGCACAAGAATAGTACTGTTGTGTTTCCTTACCTCCACATATTGGCGTCTGGCCTCCTTCACAGCTTCAGAGTTCCTCTGAAATGGAACTCTATAGAGCCGTTTCATTGCCATATGATTCCTTCTGAGGATGCGGTCATTTGTGGCCTCACTCTCAGTATGGATGTTCCTAAATACTGCCTGATCAGCAATCACTGCTGCTCTGACTTCATGCAGCCAAATGGCATTATTTGCCAGAACCTTGTTGACAACGGCTGCCTTCTGCTCAGCATTAAAAATTCTCCCTCTACCACCACCGACTGGTAGCCTTTTGATTCTATAAAGAATACATGAAATGTGGAAAAAATTACATGAAGTACTATATATCACTGCAGATATTTATGTATATACTGTATACTGTAGCAACATTACCTGTTCTCCTGTTGAGAAAATCTCTAACAATGGATGCAACAGTGTTTCTGTTTAGAACAGACTGGACTCTTTGTCCATCTTCTCTAAATGAAAGGTCATGATTTACGACATGATCAATCACAGTTGCCCGAATTTCAGCTGTAACCCTCGCACACAGACTCTTCTTCCTCTGACCCCTCTACCTCTTACTCTCACTCTACCTCTCATCTGCCTTAGACCTGCTCGATCCATGCTTGCAAAGAACAACACAGACCTGCAGACTGATTGCAAATGGAAAAATTCTGTGAAGATGTGTGAAACAGGTGCTTTCGGTGATTTCATACTGACAGCTAAAAGGGAGTTTGGACTTCTTGAATGACATCTGCATTACCTGTTTTGCAAAAGGGTGGGAAAACTGTATCAATCCAATGAGAATGGGTTAACACATTGCAAGAGGTGTCTTCTGCTATGCTGAGATGGTGATGATGAAGACTGACAGGTTCCCAGTTTCTTCAAACAGGTCAAACCAATCAATAAAAAATGTAACTCTATGGCTGCTCCTGACATATAGAGCCACCTAGTGGTCATTTACTGATATGACAACAGCTCTGACGGAGTTCATGGAAATATTTAAAACTCTTTTTTTGTGTTCCTCTGTGTTCAGTGAAGGACATATTGAGTGAAATCATCTCATCTATAGCACACAGAGTTGTGTTGAGCTACAAGACTAGCTGTCCTCTGCTTTCATCATAAACAGCTGATAGTGCTGCATCATTCATGTGATTTGGTTTTCTTTTGTTTTTTTTCCTCAGAGAAGGAGCAGAATGTCAGAGGAACAGAGAGACATGGAGGAGCTGACAACAAACTGTCTGCTGAGCGAGACCAGAGGATCATAAAGAACGCAGCTGTAATTACAACTGTTGTAACAAGTGTAATACTAGAGATGCTCCTTTTACTAGTTTAAACAACACACTCTGATAAGTTCAGACTCATCTGAGTTGTCAGATTTCCGAATCGACACACTTTCCTAAAAACCTTAAATGTAAGACAGTTTTAAAGTCTTTTTGTTGTTCTAACTGTTTTTTATGTTGCAGCCTCGTCATCAAAGAGCAGCTCAGCTAGCTGCTGACAGAAGGTTTGCAAGGAACCAGAGGTGAGTGAAACATTCTCCAAATGAAGATGAGTTTGATTCTTACGGGACTGATGAGCTAATGGCTAGTCTGAATGCCACCAAAGCTAAAATGGATTGCTGTCATCTTAAAACAACTCCAATCTCAAAGGTTTTGTTCATCTAAAAACTATTTTTTAAACTGTGGTTATTCCTAACATCTAGGGTTAATAAACATAATCTTCTTACAGGAAGTGCTACAAAATGCCTACAAATAACCACAGAGTTCAAAGTGAAGAGCTGTTTATTAATCATTTGACAGCAATGTAAAGGTGTATATCTTGTCGGTCCATTAGAACTACGGTAATATTTTCTGTTTCTCCAGTCTGAAGTCATCTAAAGATGTAACAACCCCACACCAAAAGATCTGAACTATCCCTTTAATCTCTGTCTTCAACAGCTGCTTCAATTCTTTTCTATGTGATACACATAATCCATTCCTGTTTCATGTTAAAAGCCTTCATTTTTGTCAGTCTGAGTAAAAGTTATAATGATCTAAGTTTATAGAAGAAGATTTTACTGAATTCTTACAAATATAATAATGGTGGATGTATGTATGTATGTATGTACTGTGTGTATGTATGTATGTATGTATGTATGTATGTATGTATGTATGTATGGATGGATGGATGGATGGATGGATGGATGGATAGGCCAATGGATGGATGGATGGATGATGGATGGATGGATGGATGGATGGATGGATGGATGGATAGGTCAATAGAATGGATGGATGGATGGATGGATAGATGGGTGATGGATGGATGAGTCGATGGATGGATGGATGGATGGATGATGGATGGATGGATGGATGGATGGATGGATGGGTCAATAGATGGATGGATGGATGGATGGATGGGTGATGGATGGATGGATGGATGGATGATGGATGGATGGATGGGTCAATGGATGGATGGATGGATGGTTCTAACATGTTCTGCTCTCTAAAGGATCAGTGAGCCTGTCAGCCATTATCATCACTACCACGCTCAGCTGGATGCCTTTCAGAGGAGGAAACAAGTCCTTCCTCTTCCTCCTGCTGCTCCTCATGAGAACATGAAGGATGTGATGCTGGGATGTGAAGACCAGGCAGGTCCTCCAGTAGAACCATATCAGCTGTGAGTGATATGTTTCACCCCTCAATGGCATGGTGTTGCTCTTACAGGCAACGAACCACTATTTTGACTCTCACACAATCCCTTTACAATTTTTTTTGTAAAAAATGGTAAATGGACTGAACTTATATAGAGCTTTATCAAATCCCTCCAGACCCCAAAGTGCTTTACACTTACAGATACACATTCACACACTGATGGTGGCAACCTACAAAGGTCACATCAAAAGTCTGATGACAAGTCTGTGACCAATGACATTTAATTTTGGAGAGCATGTGACATTTTGTCTGGGGTTGGAACCATCATTTTATGATCAATATATTAATAGGGACCCCAAGGCTCCTAAAAACAAGGGTCAATTTCTTTTTCTAAAATAAAAAGTTATGATTAGGGGGTCGTCGTGCCATAGATGCACGTGGTTAGAGACGTGCAGAGGTGCCACCATTGCTATGTGTTGATTGTGGATCAACATGAACCATTTGTACTTATGTGTGCAGAGCCCAAGAAAGGATTCTTGGAAAAGGTAAAGGACTGACACATCAGGAACTGAATATTTTGTTATAAACTTTAGCACATAATGAAATTCACAGACAAAAGCACAATTCAGTTCAATTCAATTCAAATTCAAAAATACTTTATTGATCCCAGAGGGAAATCAGGTAATAAGGACACAAGGAATAACAGTTCACACTGAAGTGTCTTCTGTACTACTTGCTGTAATACAGCAATCATTTAGGTCATCTGTTCAGCAATACATAATGTTATACCCTTATACATTTATGAAACATTTTTATTGTCACTGGTATTTACTGTTATATTTTTACCAGAAACATCCCAAAAAATTTTATGTAAAATTATTTATACCTGTGTCCCCCAATAAAACATTGTCTAATGTAAAATATACCTGATAAATAACTGGGTAACAGTGTACCAGACTGACTGGAACAAACTGTGTCATAATCAATGTGCAACATATGAAACATATAAAAGAATTGGTCAGGCCAACCCTAGACATTGCTACTTTAAGATATATATATATATTTTTTATTAGTGTCTGGCAGTAAAAACATTTATAGTTAAATTTCACTATTTTGTGTAACTTATAGCAAGAGCATATTAAAAAACTTGCAGTAATGGGTTTTAAAGGCACAAAATGATGGAGCAAAGCGTGATCTACAGTATGAATACAGCATCCTTACTTTCACAATCAACACATAGTAATGGCAGTGCTTTTTACAGGTGATGGGAGATGTCCAGTCCAGTTCCATATGTCAATGTTTAATAATGAAGATGAATTATCAGCCTGTAAACAACATTTATTTAATGAACAGATTAATGTTCAGTCACAGGTTCAGTCTAACTCAGCGGGGTTCGTTAGTTGTTTAATCATGAAAACAATTCTTTATCTGTTCTCTCAGTGTGGCTGCAGCTCGTAATGAGTACCTGCAGAGGAGGCAGGAGGCCAGCCAGTACAAGCTGAGAGCAGAGAAACAGCTGGTAGGAACAACACACAGTCACACTGGTGGTCCTGTCCTTTAATGGGTCTATTTATTTAATGCACACCTTTAGTAAAGGTCTACATCTGAATGAATTTAGAAGTGGTAATGACGTTAGACTGCTGTTAATCAATATTCATGTATTTATAACTAGAGACTGAAGACTTAGTTCTGGTTTATAAATCTTATAAATCTTAGTTTTTAAAAGTTATCAGTGTTCTTTATCTTCATGAACAGGAAACTTAATAAGAGGAGGCAAAATAAACCCTCGTAGGTTGGATTTGAACAAAAACTGTTGCTTTAACACTCTGTCATCCTACCATCAGGGTCTGCGTCCGTGTACAGCAGAATCCAACAGGAAGTCCGGTGGTCCAGAGCAGGTGGTGAGTCGGCCTGAAAACCAACAGGCTCCTCAGGACAGGAAGCAGGAGGGTCAGCAGGTGAGACCCTTTGATACAGAAAATAGTCAGCATGAAGAGTCAGGAGAGCTGATAACTCTGAGTTTCAGGAGTATCTGCGCCAGCTACATCTGATCAGACACCAGTACCACCAGGAGATGAGACAGTGGAGGCAGAGAGCTGAACCACAGGTATACTGTAATGTTATTGGCTCATTGAAGTTTTAGTGATATCAAAACAAACCCAAGGACTTTTTTAAGAAATAAAACATGGTGTTACATTTTTGTCTCTAACCTTCAGTCCTTCATAAAGTATTGAGCAGCTGAATTTAATTTAAAGTGCACTGTGACTGCTGGATATGGGCACCGGTGACCCCAGTGACCCTGAAAGGAAGAAGCGRGTATAGATGATGGATGGATGGTGACAGTTTGTCTGAATATGAGAGACCAGGATAAACAACAAAATAAAAGTTCTTTAGTCACCTGTAAACAGAGAATAACTTTGACTCGTTCTGTATATTTCATCCTGTTGTGTCAGACTGAGCCTCAGAACACGCAGAGAACCTTTGTGGTGGAGAAACCTTCAAACAGTAAAGATGAGCAGGAAGCACCTGTTCAGGTAAACTCTGTTCTGTCGGTGATGTCACACTCCAGCTCTATCTCCACTACAGCAGAACAACTCATCAGATCAGAACATGGACTATACTATACTACAGGGGTGCCCCACCTTTTTTGAACCAAGAGCTACTTTTGAAGTCGGCAGTTTGCCGAGAGCTACTCGACCAGTTTCAGTATCAAAAAAACATAATATGGTCTCCCTACTCCTCACTTCTTTAAAGTAAATAAAACAGAACATAATGTGTTGCTAGTTTTATTTAATTTAAAGTATTGTCAAACAAAACCATCTACTTAACCATATACTTACTTACAAAAAAAGAAAAGATAAAATCCTTAACTCCTGACAGAGAAACAGAAAAGTGATGCTTGAACAAAAAGTACCATTTTTTTTATCTCCTTCAATCAGTACCCACTGTAACATGTGAGCTATGAGGGCTGGAATCCCTTTCCAGTGCAAGAACCACAGAGTCAAATAACTTTGGAGCAGGGGAACTCATCTCCATTTATTCAAAGAACTCTCCTCTCTTCTGTCCAAACTGGGGAGTAAAAACAAAACAAAAAAACTATCAGGGTCAACATGGCTACCACAAGAGTACTGCCCTTTTTTCAAAGTCAAAGCACACAATACAAAACTCTCTCGCAGGCTCTTATAAAACCCGGTGCTGAGCTTCCAGGACCGGTTTAACCTGACCAAATCTGTTCCTTTTATTGCCTGAAAGTGATCCATCAGGTGGGTTACTGAATTTTATGCATTATTGCAGAAATATCGCCCGCCAGGGGTTTCTGGCTAAATCCAGGCAGGAGAGCGGGTGCTGGACGCATGACCGTGGTTCCACCTCACTGGATCTCTTCCTTTTATTCCCCTGCATCAGCATAAGCAGCCCAGTGCTGGAAATCAGCCATTTCACCCGCTGGAGCTCACCCGACTACTTTTGATCGCTTATATCTCCGCAGGGGAACGTCCCAGGAACTTGCAACCACCTCCAGGTTGTAGCGGAGATCCACAACTTTAAAAGAGCCATCTCCACCCGGATTCGACATTCAGAGCCGGCACTAGAGGCTCCGGAGTTTGAGTACTATTTCGCTCGCCAAAGCGCCTTTTTTGGCCGGTCGTTTGTTAATAGCTCCTCGGGGGAACGTCCCAGGAACTTGAAACCACCTCCAGTTTGTAGAGGAGGACCGTAGCTTTCCAAAGTCATCTCACTTTCCCGGATCCGATTCTCAGAGCCCGCAGGAGAAGCAAACAAAGGTTGAAATTTCCTCCCGAAAATGCGCGTAAAATGCACTAAGTCGTGCGTAATTTGTTTATATCTCCGCGGGGGAACGTCACAGAGACACCATTATTCAAGTATCCGCTTGTAGGGCAGAACCAGAGCTTTAAAACCCGACCAGCCACTCTGGGATCCGATGCTCCTAGCCTGGGGAGGGGGGCTAAAACCACCCCTGGCGGAGGTCCGATGGTGCGTAATTTTGGAGGTTTTTCGCTTATATCTCTGCGGGGGAATGTCACAGGGACTCCAATCAACTTTCTCCTTATAGGGCAGAGCCAGGGCTTTAAAAAC